ATTGATATTTCTCGCAAAACAGGCCGCATCAAGAGTACACTGATCAACGGTATTCCATCAAGTAGTTGCCAGCAGACGAAGTATTTTTCTCAAGTCGCGCGCAAGGCATTCAAACACAGTATATTCCTACTAGGTTCCTTTTTTCTTTGACCGTAATGCTTGGGCCTAATGATATAAATTAGCTTGATGTCCACTAATCTTAATAACCGCTCCAGCCACATCCTATCACTAAAGGAGCCCATTTTTCATGATTAACTATATGAGCTTTTCTATAAATGACAAACTTTCAATGCCATCACCGCTCCTTGAATAGATCGTATAGCTGTCCGCCTGCAGGGTCATCCCATTTTCATACAAAACGGGGGAGATTGTTCATGGCCTTAGCGGTTGATGTACATTTAATAGCATGATAGACGCCCGCCAGATATCGAGCTACCACTTCAAATATCCTTGCACGGCCTGAGTGGCTGTTGATGAGGAGGGGAATGCAGATGTACTGAAAGGCGAGTGTAAGTCACATCGGCAGCGGTCAAATTCAAGCTATAGGCCTTGTCCTGGAAGATGAAATTCATCGGGAACCCCGGATCAAAGCATACAGCTGCATCGATCTTGTCCATGTCTTCCCTGGACAGCTCAACCTTGAGCGCTTCGATGTTCGCCAGAAGGTGCTCTACCTTTCGCTGTCCAATGATGGGGTAGACATAAGGCGACTTGTGCAGGACATACGCGAGAGCCTGCACTAGTCAGTAACCATGACTGCATATCACGAGGAACAATAAACATACCACAGCATGCAGACTCGTCTTTTTCGGCTTCGCAACCGCCTCGAGCGCCTGGGACACTTTAACCTCGTCCTCGCTCATCTGGGCCGAGCGCCCTCCGCCTGCATGCGCCGCCTCACGGGCCTCCGCCGTCTTGAACCGCCCTTGACCTAACGGGGCCCACGGAGCAATCGCCATGCCCTGATCCCGACACATTGGGATGACTTCGCGCTCCATATCTCTGCATAGCGCATTCCACTTACCCTGGTAGACGGAGAATGGCCGCAGCCCGTGGGATCGCGCGTAGGCGTTCGCCTTGACCACCACCCAGGCGGGCGTATCCGAGACCCCGAGGTACAGGACCTTACCTGCAGAGATCAGCGCATTAAGCCCGTGCATGACCTCCTCGATGCTGGTAGTGAAGTCCCACCAGTGCACGTAGAGAAGATCGATGTAGTCCGTCTGCAGCTTCCTGAGGCTGTGGTTGACGGAGATGTGCAGCGACTTGAGGGAGTTGCCGACGTAGTTGGACTGAATAGGTTCTTTGTCAAAGTGCGCGGTGCGAAAGCCCGTGGTATATTTGGTCGCGATGCTGTTCAGTCAGACAGGCAGAAGACATGAGACCAGGACGGACAATGCTTACACCATCTGATCGCGGGTCCCACGCGATGTCATCCAGTCCCCAATCCATTCTTCTGATTGCTCGGACTGGTAATTGTTGGCACTGGGGAGATTAGATCCTTTTTTTTATCATGTCGGCTGCACCACAGCATACGTGTCGATAAAGTTCCCCCCGTTCTCGAAGAACGCATCCATAATCGCAAAGGCATCCGCCTTTGTGCATTTGCCCATGGACTCCTCCCTATGTGATGGTCAGTAACCCGCCATTTTCGTGATCTGGGGATTTCTTTTGCAATATACCAAGCGGTTCCAAAGTTCATCGCACCCAGGCATAGTGGAGACACCTTGACGCCCGCGGATGGTGCGAGAACACGATGATACCCTAGAGGGCTCTTGGGTTCCGGAGCAGACATCGTGCTGGTGACGAGGCGTCGGTATGGGTAGCAGTTTTGCAGTTGCTGAATTACTCCATGGGGAAGGGATGACTGTATTTATCATAGCAGACATGAGGAATGCTGGATAGTCGTGACGCAGCTCTGCGTCAATCCATGGAAGACATCTGATATTGAATACGAGGCATGACTCACCATATCAAGCAAATGAACTTATCACTAACATAGGGCCCACAGCATCAGGGCATTTTCTGACCTCGACCGGCAAGCAGCCCTAGGAATACGAACGATGGCGTCGATGTCATGATGCAGAACGTGCAATTCACGGGTTGCGGGCCGAAACCCCGACGTCAAAGGACTTCAAGGATTAAGTTAGGGGTTAGCTTATAATAGCTAGATTGGGCTACCGTATAGTCCGAATGCGACTAAATAATCAGAACTGTTCTAATAGTTCAGAGTATAACTGGACCTCGTCGCGATATAGGGAAGCTGTGCACCTTCAGACACCCATTAGGGTTATTTGCACTGTATTTCCAATGATTTCAGCATTAATACCATCCTCATCCTTTCGAAGAGTAAAGTTATTGCTTGAGGGGGTAGTAAGTAGTGACTTGTCTTGGATTAACACTGACTTCATCCCTGGGACGCAGGTTTGCGTGATGTCCTTCCTTGCAGCATCTTAAGTAGTATATAGGCCAGACAGACTGTTCGCTATACCTTGGTAGGCGGCAACGCGGGGTTATACTCCATCAATTCCATGCTTTGAAAAGGCATTAAGCCGGGATTTCCATATATACTAGGCTCGGAGAAATCAGGTATCGGTCACTGAGGCATCACATCACGATCTTGAGTCCTTATTGTTCCCCAGAATCCAGATCTCATCACGCCCAAGCCGAGTTTGAAGCTGGAGGAATAAAAGTTAAGGTGAAAAGTTAAGGTGTGATACGTTTACACCAAGTGAGGATGAAACATGTCAAAGATACATGATGATCAATTCGTGTGCCCTTACAATCTCCAGGATGAAGCAGTCCGTTGGGGACGCTGTGCCCGCGATCCTAACGGTCGCATGTCGAAGCAGACGTTAAAATGCAGAAGAACGAACCTCGCAGCTGTCTCATTGTCATCAGAATTTCCCCTCCCGTGAGTTATCATCCCCCACGTCCAGATTGCGGGGCGGACTCTAGTCGGAGCTGATGCGGATGCAAGTCGGAGAGATCAAATAGCCCAGATAATCTCCGCACATAAATAATCAAATGAACGCCACATTACACAGGAACTCAATGGACGTATAGAACTTTAGTCAGAGCCCAAGTATGTCACCACACGCTATAACAGCCGTCCCCACAGGGACCAACAACTGGTGGAAGGAGGCCACGGTCTACCAGGTAGAGTACTCTACCTTCACCGATATCCCATGCACAGCTGACATGGCCAGGTATACCCCGCATCATTCAAAGATTCCAACGGCGATGGATGGGGTGATATTCCCGGTCTCATCTCTAAGATCCCATACCTCCATTCGCTGGGAGTCGACGTAGTATGGCTGTCACCGCACTACGATTCACCAATGCACGACATGGGCTACGATATTTCCGACTATGAAAAAGTGCTTCCGGCGTATGGGACTGTCGAGGACGTCGAAAAGCTGATTGACGAGTGCCACAAGCTCGGGATGAAACTCATCCTTGATCTAGTGGTGAATCACACCAGCGACGAGCACGCCTGGTTCAAGGAAAGTCGCAGCAGCAGGAACAACGAGAAACGCGACTGGTATTTCTGGCGGCCAGCACGGTATGACGAGCAGGGCAATCGGCTTCCGCCTACAAATTATAGGGGCTACTTCGCTGGGAGTACGTGGACGTGGGACGAGCACACGCAGGAGTATTACCTGCACCTGTACGCGAAGGAGCAGCCGGACTTGAACTGGGACAACCGAGCCACGCGGGAAGCCATCTATAGCAGTGCGATTCGGTTCTGGCTTGACAAGGGCGTAGATGGCTTCCGCGTCGACACTGTCAACAAGTATAGCAAACGGACGGACTTCCCTGACGCGCCTATCACCGACCCGAAAAGTTATATCCAGCCGGCGGTGGAGATGTGGTGCAATGGTCCGCGGATCCACGAGTTCCTGCGCGAAATGTATGATGAAGCCCTGGCGCCATATGGCGACATGATGACCGTCGGCGAGCTGGCGAATACTCCCGACCCGAAAGATGTGCTCAAGTACGTTGGTGCATCCGCGAAGCAGCTCAGCATGGTCTTTCATCTGGACATCGGCCATATCGGTATGGGCAGCAGTCTGGAAGACAAGTATATTCTCCAGCCGTGGAAGCTCACCGAGATGAAGGCCATTGTTGGCAAGTGGCAGTCTTTCGTCGAGGGCACAGACGGGTGGACAACGGCCTTCTGTGAGAACCACGACAACGGCCGGTCGGTGTCACGATTTGGATCCGACGCCCCTGAATTCCGCGAACGTTCCGCTAAGATGCTGGCGTTGATGATGGTGGCCATGACAGGCACGTTGTTCTTGTATCAGGGGCAGGAAATCGGGATGATCAATGCGCCACGGGAGTGGTCGATCGATGAGTATAAGGACATTGAAGGGCTCGGATACTATCGAGAGGCGGAGCGCCAGGCTGCAAATGGCAACGATCCGAGCAGACCAGAGCGCATCATGGACGGACTGCGAATTCTGGCGCGAGATCATGCCCGACTGCCGATGCAATGGGACGATTCTCCCAATGCGGGATTCACGACGGGAACACCGTGGATGCGCACTCACGATCTGTACAGAGAGATCAACGTGAAGAAGCAGGAGTCGGATCCCCAAAGTGTGCTTTCGTTCTGGAAGAAGATACTGCGGCTGCGCAAGGAGTACCGGGAGTTATTCATCCACGGTGCGTTTGAGGTCGTCGACTTTGAGAATCTCCAGACCTTTTGTTTTGTGAAATCAAGGGAGGAGAAGCGGGCATTGGTTGCCTTGAACTTCACCTCGTCACCTCAGCCACTCACCCAAGCTGGCATGGCGCAGGGGATGACACTTTTGGTCAGCAACTATCCCACCTCGCAATTGGGTACATTACAGCCCTACGAGGGGAGGATCTACATATCTTGACTTGAGCATTTCCTCTAGAAATAAATTCATCATTAGACCGTAACATGATCCAGGAAGATTGAAGACGATAGCCCCCACGTAGCCCAACTTCGCGCATGTGCCATTAAACCCTTACGCAATAGATCCCAAAGCAATGCACGGCAGGCTCGCAGCGATACCAGACGAAGACTAAACCTGTTAGCAGCTATCCACCGATAATGCCGGATACATACCGCATCAGCGGCGTTTGTCTGACAACAAGCCACATTCTGCTTGCAGTGCTGGTTGAGCAGATCTTGGATAGGTAGAATAAGAATAGTAACTACAACCGTTAGCCATTTCACGAGTGGAATATATTAGACTACTCACTTTGCACATCCAACTTGGAGCATTGATCAAAAGCCAAAATGCCGCTATCTCCTGAACCACCCCCGGCGAGGTTGCTCAAAAGTCCAGCGCCAATTCCCTCGTCGGCTGAGGTAAGATCGCCAGCTTTGACGGCTTTGCCGCAGCACGAGAGCTGCGCTTTGTCGCCACATTTGCGTGCAGCCTCTTTGATTGTCATCTCAGAATCGAGCAGCGGAAATTGCGGCTCGCCTCGTGGAATGACTTCGGAGGGAAGGGTAGCCACCGAGGTGATGAGGGTGAAGGCTGCGATGCTCAGGGATAATCTCATGGTGACAAGCAAACTGACAAGTACTCAGTGAAGAGGAAAGCTCTTTAGGATTTGCTCGCGTGAGGATGTGACAGCTTCAGCAGCAGACAAAGATGGGTATAAGTCGGCCAGTGTTGACAGATAAAATGATCAAAACATTCCAGATGACGATGGAATTCTTCACACCTGCGTAACCAAATTCCCTCGTTCCTGGCATTCCTCTTCTGGATTCCTGAAAACATTCGGAGCGCATACCTTACGCCGAATCTAATGGATAAAACAGTCAAGTGCATGAACTCGTTACTTTCTTATATGTTGTATAATTCTATTATGCAGCCAAACTTTGACGCCAATACGAAGCCTGCAGCCCTAAGGAAGGATAATTACTGCTATACAGCGGTGATATTCCAGGAGGTCCAGGGCATGCAGGAAAGCGAAAAACCCCCCTGTGATTGTCTGACTGGAATGCATGACTCAAATAAAAAGTATTTGAAATCAGCATAATACTCGACCATTCTATTTTATCTGTGAGACATGCTGTAACCTTTATAGTCGCTCAACTTGCATATTATGCCATGCTTCTTTGCTGCCTGGTCAGCCGGACAGAGCTTATAAATTCCTAGTTATTATCGCCATAAATTCTCGATTAATTGAAGTAGACTATAACCTAACACGCAGTACAAAAGGAGTATCATAAGGGCAACAGATCAAAACAAAAAGCATATAGAATCCTCATCAATAAGTCAAAGTCACAACATTTCCCAGCCAGCCAACCTCCGTCTTGTTGACAACTTCCTCGAAAATCCATTGCCCGACACGGGCACGATGCACTGTATACCCAATAGGTGGGCTCTCCTCTGTTCCCACCCGGAGCTTCTTTGGCCCAATGCTGGCAATGCTCTGGTCCCCGACCAGCAATGACGGACGAACAATCACTGCCCCACCAAAAGCCCTGGACGATTCATCCTTCAGCGCATCGGCCTTGACCAACTCCTCCAGCTTTCTTTTATCTTCATGTGGCACCGCAAGGAGGACGGTATACAGCCACTTGAAACCAAACGGCACATCATCCGGACCGTCCACGCCGGTGGTTGAGATAACAGTGATGACAGGTTTGCACAGTCGCTCGTCCGGGTACTCGGCATATATCTCCCCCAGCGCTTTGATGATGGAGTTGATGGCTTGCTCGCAGATATGCGGATTATCCATTTTGACCGGAGTGGTCAGGGAAAGCTGAATCGAGGGACGGGCCCCAACGCCACTGACGATCTTGTCCACAAGCTTTCTTTCATCTCCGGACAGTAAGGTCTTCTTGACGACTGCGACATCGGTGATATCGCCTTGGATAATAATCAGGTTTGCGCTGATGGTTTCTTCGCTGATTCCTTGCGCCAGCAGCATATCGTGCAATTTCTTGGGTGTCCGCGCCAGTGCGACTGCTTTGAGGCCTTCCCGGAGAGAGAAGGCCAGACATGCATTTGTGCATCCGCCTGTGGCGCCGAAATATGCGGTTCTTTGGGAGTTCATTTTCAGAGGCAAAGAGTTTCGTATGAAATTGTGTAGAGCCAAAAAACAAACTCGTAAGCGGGAGTGTGTCATTAAAATAGTCATGAGACTTAGGACTTCCGTCCTGTCCAGTCTCCAGCTGATGGTAAGGCTGAACTACTTGGTTGGTCGACGGCCACGGCAACTAACATTTAGCCCGTCATCGATAACGGAGGATCTGTCTGCCCGACTGACAGGTAAATACATATCCAGTATGTTAGTCTTCGTCGGGCTGATTCAAATCCCCCAATCATGTATTCCCCCGACTCCGGCGCTTACATAGGCGACCACATGTTGCGCCTCCCTCTCGTATCTGAAAGTCAATTACTCTGTCTCTGTGAATATATAGCAATTACGATTCTATTAAATATCGCTGGAGCATGATAAGGTCTAGATTTAGCCTACTCTGGCTCTCTAAAATTGCATAAACTCAAAGCCTGGGCAGCTGACATCTTATCGACCATCATGACGCTAAAACCATGTAACACTTCAAACAGGTCTCCTTGGAGTATTATTACAGTTCGATGGGATTGTGAATTAGAAAATACCCTGCATCCTCAGTCGGTCCGAATTCGGCTTGCACGAAGGCACAACTGGATCTCGCGTACAATGCCTGCAAATTCCCACAAACCGCTTCGAGAAGCGACATACACTGAGGGAAGGTACCCATCTCCTGCTCGGGTTGAGAAGGGTTCACAGCGTCAGAGTCGAGGATCAACCTGCGAGTGCGTGATCCCTGGCCGTCCGCACCGACAATGAAATCAAAATATGCTTTCCGATAATTTCGAATCCTTGCTCTTTAATCGATTTGCGCGGAACGATGGCTCGAGACCTATTTGTCGTATGACCGATCCCATGGCCCCACAGGTCGATCTGCAGGCCTGTGGCGCGCAGAGCTGGAACCGATCGATAACCGGACGTCGTGGCCCATATTTAGAAGCCAGAATGCAAGGGCGTTGCCCGGGATACCTGCGCCGCAGATGAGGAGCAGGTCAGGAGCTTCGACTGGGCCACAGCGATTATGGTACTGGAATGTGCGATATGTACCCGTAGCAAAAGAAGAATGTGCCAAGTTCAACTGAAGGGACTGGCAATGCTATTAAGGGCCTATTTAACACCCTCCATCCCCGTTTTCCCGGCGCCCTTTAATGGGGCTAATATTTCCGGTTTTGCCATGCTGTTTTAAGTAGAAGTAGCCGTCAGCCCTGGGTGGGACAGAGTATAGGAATTTTATCTACGTTATGAGTTTTCCGTATTCAGTATAAGCCCTCATGTCGCTAGACGTAATCAAAAAAATTCCCTCGATACACAATATCACAGTAGGAAGAGATCATATCCTCACCAAAAGTACGCTTAACGTGAGCTGCCAATGTCAGCGAAGGGCTTGGGATTGGTCCTCGGTCTAAATTAGTTAACAAATGCCACGCGTTTAACCTTAACAGCTGGCTTCCAATTATTATGAAATCGCGTATCCTTATTCCTGCTTCGGTTCACTCTTCTGCTGTTCCACCTAGATTCACTCCGCCGTGTGATTGTACTTGTCTCGGCTCCTCTTCTAAATCAAACAGATGCGGAGGCCAACTCTGATCTGTCCATTGCTGAACAAAGTATGGATCTGAGAGATCAAAATTGATATTGTCGGTATTCAAAAAGTCAAAGTCAGCATCAGCCACAGTGGGCACAGCCAGTATATCCCCGTATGTCCAGGATACAATATCCGGAGGACTAGCACTGGTCGAGAGGGAACTAGCTGCCATGGTCTCCAGAATATCGCGGCACTCGGTCAAGCTCTGGCTGGCAGCGTTGATCACAGCTTCTTTGATGGGCAGACCATCAAGTAGTGCCTCTACTTGGGCCGTTGCCATACAGACAAAAAGGTAGCCTCTCACATTCGTTTCGCCATACCACAGTCTATCGTGTGTATATTGGGCCACCTTGCGCGCGTCTTCCAGCAATGGCTCTCTGCGAGCACGATTTCGCCGCTTTGAAAATATAGAGTTGTTTGCTTCCAGTTGTGTAATCAGTTCCTGGAATATCGCCAAGGCACCCCGCGTGATAATATCTCGGTACATGCCACCCCCGGCGAGTAACAGACGACGATACAGCTTGTCCTCGAGAAGTGAAACCAAATCGAGGGCAGCTTCGAGACACACTTTCTGGGAGTAGCTGTATAGAGGATTGCGTTTGCTCTGGATTGCGTAAGGATAGTGGAGACTTAGGAGGAAGCGGCGGAGATAATGCTCGCAGAAATTGTACTTGAACCGACCTGCTTCATGAGTCGGCATATCAAGCTCAGTTGACATGTTCGGGTCCAAGAAGGCTGCTGCACTACGGCAAACTGAGGCCAGCTCGTTCCCAAGCCGAAGAACATGGTCATATGACGGTTTATTCTGCAGGTTGTTGATGACTCTCGTAGCTTCCAGTCTTAGAGGCAGGGAATCCGCCAGCAGACGCTGGACTGAGGTCTGGGTAGGTATGGAACTTGCTTTGGCTGTAGGGCCCTCTCCAAACGCCTCGACCAAATCATCATCGTCCAGGTTGGAGGGCGGCTGGGTATTATACTCAGCCGCTGTCATCATGGGTTCCATTCCCGAATCCAACGCAGCCTGTACATTCAGCTCCAAGATTGTATACCACAGACGCCTTCTTAATTCCCTTTGAAGCACACTCATCCGGCCTAGGCTGCTGGGATCTTGATGCAAGCCCATCTGCATGGCCATCCGGATTAATGACCCGGCAGAGATCCAGGCCAAATCTGCTCCAACCCGGTTCACCTGGCGCGCAAGCAGAAGCAAGCAATGAATCTGAATCCCATCTAGTGTCAAACGATCCTTCTCGAAAGGCGCAGAGAGCCATCCCTGAGCAGTATGGATCCATGTTCTTGCTTTGGCAGCCAGCTCAGTATAGGCTTGGACATCACCGTGCAACGGTGCTGCAATAGCCATGACCAGTAGAAGTTTCACCTTGAAAGGTGTCGTCGCCGTTTCCGGGTTCCTCAAATAACTCTCGTACTCTACTCTGAACAACTTAGTGTGGAGAATTCGGTAGCATGCCTCAAAAGTGTCGAAATACAGTTGTACTAGCTCGTCCAGCACCAGGGGGCCGGGTAGCAGTTGATGGATACTGCTAGGGAGTGGGGTCCGACTCGGCAGCTGCTTCTTAATATCTCGAGCCAATTGCTTGCATTTGGTAATTTCCTCAAAGATTCGTTCGCCAGAGCGCTCCCAAGGCATGTCTTTCTTGAACGGAAGGCCCTCCACCTTTGGTTGGTTAGCGTTGATCAGGAGCCAGTACTCTACACATAGTCGGGTGACGTACCAGAGGCAACGAGCTCATCCAATGGCCGTGACCAAAGACCCTTGTCTTGGATAGGGTGCCGTGAAATGGACCAGGAGGAGCTTGGGGTGTGGATGAGCTTTGCGGAATATTGTGGTTTCTGTCCGGATCCTGTGGGATGCATCGCGCAGGGCCATCCGACACAATAGATACCACTGGTACAGTGCTTTCATCAATTGATAGATTTGGCGAACTGGAGACAGGCCGTTGTAGTACGCTCGCGTCTTGGTCGGCCGCTGTTTGCACCACCGGTCCGTGGGACCGTTGTGATGCCTGTCTCTCTAAGCCTGTGGCGCGGCCCACCGCATATGTACAAACAGTCGACTTATGCGCTCTGCATTGCCCACAGGGGCTGTTTCGGTCGCATTTGACCTTGCGCCGCCGACACTCTACGCAGGACAACGCTGGGCGTCGGCGTCTTCTGGGTTCAGTCGGCCCAGCCATTGGTGTATGTTACCGGACAAGAACAGAAACTCGTTCGTTTCGTTAGGTCAGGATATTGACTATGACACAAAAGTCAAAAACTGATTCTGCTCCGTCGTTCATGGGTGAAGGAGGATTAAATGTTATCTCCGAAACAGTATCGGACGTCACAAGTTGCCGATATCTCCGAAACTGGCACTCCAGTGACATCCCTGTAGCACTTAAGTCCGGGCACTATCCTGTAAGGTGACCCGTCATTTACGCGGCCGGATTTTCTAGATCGGTGATTATAAAATCTAGGTGGACGACTCTCCGATTAACATTAGTCAGTTTCCTCTCAAAAGAAGTCCAGGGTTTCCGGCCGACATGAGAGCAGCAAACGACGAGGCAGCTTACTGGACATAGCAGTTCAGCCAGGAAAGGTCGGATTTGGTATAACTAAGGCGAGGGATCTGCTGATGAAGCTAAACATACTACTTCTAGACTTTAAAGCCCTTTTGAGCGGGATCCTGAAGAGGAAATTCTGCTGCATAAAATCCCATTCAGTCCTCCAACCTGCTTTGCTATTCTTATAGCCAAGAGAGAAGAAAATCAAACTGACTATCAGTAACGTCCAAAACACACTTCTACTGAATACGCTGGTGGTTAAACAACATTCACAATGGATTTACTCCTTGCCTAGAGCTCATCGAATCTCCTTTAGAGCTTCAGATACACCATTGTAGCCACAGTTATAGTCTAAATTGGCCAGTCTTTCCTCCATGGTAATATCCTTTGCCATCACACGAGTGTCCTCCAGGACCTTTGAAGCACGCGGGCGGCGAATATTGTCCACTTGCTTAAGAACCGCTTCGATTTCCGCATGGGAAAGTCCTGGACGCAACAAGCGGAGACTGTCAGCATCCTCGACCGCCATGTTCGCACCTTGACCCTGCAATGGGGTCATGGCATGGGCGGCATCTCCGATGACGATTGCTCGTCCTCGATTCCAGTTAGGAAGGGGGTCCATATCTTGGAGCTCCCACACTTTCACCTCGGTGGCGATGCTGTTATCATTAGCTTCACCACCCATAGAAGACACAGGGTGTATACCTTAGAATCGTGCGTATAGGGTGACAGTAATCGTTGAAGATCTCAGTCATTTCCCGTCGGTCACCGTCTGCGTACCACGACTCCAGGACACTTCCTTTGTCATGGCGGGTCGGAAAGAGGCACGAGAAGTTCATATAGTCATAATTCCGAATGGCGTAGGCTGCAATCATGCGGTTACTCCCATCACCTGCCTGCAGCCCAGAGATGCGACCTTCGGCTGTACTCGGCTCCCACCACACGGGGAGATAGCCGAGTGCTTCTTTAACGGCCTCAGCGGAGGCGGCAATCCGGTAGCAAGTTAACCCATTCTTCTTCGCCTGATAACTGTCACTGCCAACAATCCGGCGACGGAGGCGCGAGTGCACTCCATCAGCAACTATATATTTTAGAGTCAGATGCTTCTGCTTCCAGACCCACCACTGGAGACCACTAACCAATAACCACGTCTGCGTCCACAACCGACCCGTCTTCCAACGTCACAGTAGCCTTCTCAGGGTCGATATCAATGACACTGGTATTGAACACCATCTGCGCCGGACAGCCTTGGATACCGAGCTCATCCGATGGGGCAGTTGCAAGGCGAAGAAGTTCCTCACGGAAATCAGACCGCTTCATGCTCAGAGTATCTGCCCCGTACCGCCCCTTGAAGTCAATTGGGAAGTCTTGCAATTGATTGCCATTTTTGTCAAACAGCCGGTAACCGTAACATGGCACTGCACCAGCACGACAACGGTCAAATCCCATGGTTTGAAGGATCTTCACCCCGTTGGAGAACAGACAGATACCCTGTCCACCGGTGGCCGTATCTGGACCACCGCGCTCGTAGACGATGACAACATGATGCTCGCGGAGGATCCGGGCCGCAGCTAGGCCTGCCAGGCCAGAGCCGACGATGATAATGCGAAGCTTTTCAGCGGTCATTTTTCCGGCTTGTTAGCTTTTGAAGGTGGTGATGGTAGACAGGAGTAAGATTGTATATGTGTTGAGAAGTTAGATCAATCCAACTGCCTTAAGGATGTCACAAGCCCTCTTATAGTCAAATTAGCCGATACGAGCGGAGGGAACCTTATGGTGAGCACTTGATGTCCATCATCTTCCCCAGAGTATCTCCGAAAAGGCCGAGTCGGGGTTCCGGATGATCAGAGTAACCCTGCCACTGTCGTGGAACGGTGTCGGAATGACGGTCTACGTATCGCCAGTGTGCACTATTATGTTTCAGTCAAGTAGTTTTCATTCAACGAGCCGAAGCTTCGTTAATGCGTTTTATCCGAAACCTCGGGTTGTGCCCGGTGATATCGGGGGTCGGTGTTGTATTTCTGCACAGTAACTGACAAATGGGATTTGCTATGAGTACTAAAGTATGTTGAGTACTAAAGTATGTGACGGACTGGAACTGCAGACCCATCGTCACCTTTCTGACATTACTTCTTAGATACGACAGTTACACATAGCCAAATCCCTCGAAAACTCTCTACCAAACTTATGCATGTCCTGAGATCGCAAACGAGCCGTGAGCTGACATAGCTGCACATCATGACGCCTTTGAGGGGAACTTGCAAGCGGCCCATTAAGCCAACTCCAGTTGCCTGTGGTGTTTATCCGCAGTAATCTGCGCATCAGTGACATAGTTCTTGAACTTGCGCAGATTGACCCTCTTCTCAAACCTACAATACAGCTGTCAGATGCTATTCAAGGGACCCAAAGAGGGCTGTCAATAAACAAGACTCAGATGGGATATGCCCTTGTCAGAGACATATGCAAAAGTCGATAGATGGGAGGATAAAGTTGGTTGACTGGGGAAATTCTCCGTGAGGTTTCAACTCGATCATGTTCATCATGTTCATCATGTTCATCTGGAAATGATCTTCCCGCAGAGAAGCATAGAGTTTGTATATAGGCGTCGTACAGTCCAGAATAAGTAAATCAATGAGTCTCGAACAGTGAAGGCGGTAGACATGGAACTTTTGCTAGCACCCCTCTTGCTATGCAGCTACATTCCCATAGGAACAGCATTGACTTTTGCCATACCTTCCGCACCGTCGTCCGACTCTAGTGGACATCTCTCAGCTGCCTGTACGGTGCTGACACGATTCTCGGTCCTACATCAGCGACTGATGAGTCTGTCAACCACCATTGATGCGGCGACTTCAGCGACGAACAAGATGAATTGTTATTAAGCAAGGTAATGGCCCTATTCGTGCGCGATCCCAGTCTGAATGGTTTTCATCTACGGCTGACAGTTATCAGTCTTCCTAAGCAGTGACATCGTTGTCAACTCGCAGTCTTGAACGATCTCGGCTGAATTATTCGCCGGAGGTCAGCAGGCAAGATGCAGTGTGTGGCAATTTGTCGACCTCTAAGGTAGTATTATATCTGTTGGCGACCATTAGATCCAAACAAGGAAGAATACATTCCTAAAACAGTCGACAACACGGCCGTTCGTTTCGTTCTCAACGATTAGACATAGATTGTTACCTTGGAGCGAAGTTGAAGTATCGTTCAGATGCAGCATCGAATCATTCTGTATATGAGGCTATTTTTAGTACATCTTCACATCGACACGAGCAACGGCAGTGGCGTGACGACCCCGTATTTGTCCCCGTTACAATATCCATCAAGGAAAAGATCTTCGCATTGGGCCCCAGAATTGCCCATGCAAGGAACGAACACGAAGCTAGTCAGGTACCTTTGATCATCAGTGCGTTTCTCTTAATCATTTTAGACTGATCCGCGGCCTCGCAAAATGATACCCATCTTGCTAAATAGTGCGCTTGAGCGAGATTAGAGATGACGATCCTCTCGTATAGACGCCCCACAGACGGGATGTGACGATTTCATTCGTATATCCCCACTCAAGTTGTCTGAATCTCCTGTTATGTTTGAATGGGCTGAATTTGAAGAGCAATCCTCAGACGACGATCGATTCGGTAGTTCGTATCAGTCTGAATCTATTTTGGGATGCGAACATCGCAATCAAAGTCAATCATAGTGTCGGCGAAGAGTGCGTAAACCGAATATATATACGAGCAACATCTTCCTCGAGTCAACAGAAACCACATCAAGACACTGAATACCATCACCTCCCTCTTCAAAATGAAATTTTCCATTGCTGCTCTTGCGGCGGTTGCTGGCCTGGCTTCGGCTCTCCCCAGTCAGCCCGAAGCTCGCGCAACCACCGTCCAAGGCTTCGACATCTCAAACCACCAGAAGAGCGTCAACTTTGACGCTGCAAAGAAGGATGGCGCGCAGTTCGTCATGATCAAGGTTCGTTACTTTCCAAACCATCCCACGGCTCATTCAGCCAACATGAACTATAGGCCACCGAAGGCACGACGTACAAAGACACGGTCTTCAACTCCCACTACACAGGCGCCACCAAGGCCGGCCTCCTCCGCGGCGGGTATCACTTTGCCCGCCCTGACAAGTCCACCGGCAGCACACAGGCCAAATTCTTCCTGAAGAACGGCGGCGGGTGGAGCAACGATAATCAGACGCTGCCGGGGATGCTGGACATCGAGTACAACCCCTACGGAGAGACATGCTACGGCCTCAGCCATGCCCAGATGGTCGCTTGGATCCACGACTTTGTTGACGAGTACCATCACGCGACGAGTCGGTGGCCCATGATCTACACCACTGCAGACTGGTGGAATCGCTGCACGGGCAACGCCAAGGGCTTCGGCGATAAGAGTCCTCTGGTGCTGGCGGTGTATACCAGCTCCCCTCCGAAGACGATCCCAGGTGACTGGAAGACATGGACCATCTGGCAGAATTCGGACAAGTATGAGCACGGGGGAGACTCGGACAAGTTCAATGGGCCAATGACGCAGTTGAGGAAGTTGGCCAGTGGTTAAGTTTTAGGCCTAAAATTTCTGTCCTTCGGTTATATTCTGTATTACCTACTGGCTTGCTTCGGTTGAGTTTATAGAGATATTCTGTCGCGACACTCATGTTGTATAATGTTATTCTATGGACAAGCTCCATCAATTGCATCTGATCATGCATCATTCCTGGTTCTCAAGATTGATTATACCTTTCTGGTTGACATAAATATGACGGGAATATGCCGTCTGCAGTACCATGTCACCGTGACTCGATACATGGCGCTGTTGATTGGCAATCCGCGAAGCTTCTTGGCTTGCAACAAGGAATATAAGCTTATGATTCGACATACCAGGCTGTGTCCCTGGCTGTTGACAATCAGCACGTCATGGTAGGGTCATTCCGCCGCGCAGCATATAAGAACAACATATGAAGTGAATCGTCTACTTGCATTTAATGCCACTCTCTACTGCACTGGCACATCACGCGATAAGATATAATCATCTAAACTCCTGTGGACACAATGCCTTCAAAACCACTCGCCGACCATCCGCTTCAACCAAAGAAGGTGCACGGCGTGACCCGCGATGACGAGCCAATTGACGATTACGAGAATGCCATCCGCTCGAAGGAGCAGGAGGCAGAGCCCTCGGACAGGGGCAATGACGCCCCCTCACATCTAGGAACATCGACACGACATAAGGGCGCTCGCACTCGATCGCAGGGCTCGCGGAATCGATCGACCACGGGACGTGTCTGAAACATTCAGAACGCACGATAGAGAATACTATCAGTTCTATTGGCTCGACTATGAAGGGAAGGACAGCATTGGTGTTTATCTCTAGCAGGGGCTGCTGCAAGGTCCTTGTCTAACCATGATGTTCCTACTTCCTTATTTTTAGGGGCTGCCCTGATATAACCTAGAAGTTGCTCAAGGCAAAGCTGGATTACATACACCATATAAGGACTAAATAATAAAATCCTAAGAGGTATTAGTGCTAGTAGAAAGTAACATATCCTATAGTCCCTGTATTAAAGTATGATAGTTGCATAATCTGTGTTCATAGTAAAGGTTTAATCGAGGAGTTGTATTTTGTTAATAGTTAAAGTTATATGCTACTCAGGTTATCCCAGACCAAGGATTATACAGAGGCTTAAAGCTACGATGGGTAGTTCCATTCGCTATTAATAAAATAGGCTGTAATAGCAATAATGCCTGCTAGAACGGGCTAGTCCAGCAATTCAAGGCAAGTAATACTTTGGCATCCATAGGCAAGTCTTTTATTTGTGAGACGTGCTGTCCAATTATAGCATCATGTAATTGTTGATAGTAGAGTGTGTTTGCTAGAGGGAGAATTATTGAAATGCATTATCTTCCACCATCTGAAAAAGGAGCTGTAGGCCAGTGATAGTCTTCAAAAGCTGCTCTCCAAGTTAATCTCTTATTAACTAAAACTCCAGTTCTTGTAGTTCCTGTGGCCCTCTTAGATTAAATTCTGGAATAGAGTTTAAGTTCTGGTGCCTTTCCATGACGCTGTCACCATAAGATCTACAGTGAGGGTGTCCAACAAAGTTAAGCAAGACTAATATATTACCTTTAGCTAACCTGTATACATGGTCTGCCGCCTAGTTTTAAGTGAGCCTATACTTCAGCAGAGCATGTCTTAATTAAATATTTAATCCTTAATCTTCTACTTCCATTTAACTGTCGCCCATACTCCGTATACTTGGGTGACGGCGAATTACTAGAAGCGGTATAGAGCCTAAATATGTATAATTGCATCTACAGTGATTACTTTTAGTACAGCGCCGTGATATTGTTAATTTGGAGAGGGTATCTTAAGATATAAATTGCGGCAGTATAGCAAGGAATTTCCTAGTTAAGCTAGCGGTAATACCACTGGATTCAAACTTTTGACCTGCCACTGTACAAAGAGACGACAAAAGCCGGCTTACAATCAGTGCCCCAAAATTAGACAGCGGAGTAGGCCAAATAGTACTCCACCTGTGTCCATAACAATATAACAAACTCCCACAGCTTATCAATTACGGCTTTCTGCCTCCTGATAGTCATTCATAACAAAGGGGCAGACCCTTAA